AACAATCTGAATTCCCATCCAATCTAGAATGGTAGACAAAATCCAGTCTGTAATGCTGTGGTTAAATCGTTTTCTATAATCCGCCTTAATTCTTCGTTAGAAGCAAAGAGTGGTTCGTGTGTTTTAGTTCCACTCAACTATGTAGGCTTACCAGAGACCAGGCAAAGGACAGTCTGTAACCCCGTACGAAAGGCTGCCCCAAGTAATGAATTTCTTAGCTAGGCCATCCCTCGTAGAGTATTCGATCTGCAATGAAGAATAGCTTACAAGGCAAATTAGTATGAAATGAAATGATTTCGACGATAATTTTGATTAGCGCCCATCAAGAGCCATAATGGGACCTCACGTATATTATATCCCAGCTGCCATAATCAATCCTGTCCGTGGTTCGCCTTCAAATGCTCGTATTACGGTCCATTTCTTCCACATTGTTATAGAGAAACTCGTGACAATGGTCAAGCGTATGTAATTTCTCTTTAAATTATTTAAAGACATCCATTCCTTTATACTTACAGTACATTGGTATTTTATTAGTTCTCTTGAGACACGCCTTTAGAAGAAAAAGGGTGTTTTCGTTCACCTCCTGGGGCGTGTGCATGACCTGAAAACTGCAAAGATAAGAAGAATGTTCAAACATCAATAACTTCATACTTATCTGCCTTACCATAGCTTGGGCACACGAACTCTCTCTTCAGTCCAAATCTGGTTTCAGTCGTCATATTCTTGAAGACATCTAGAAAGAACCGTCTTGATAGAAAACGCCAAAAACGGTGCCTCGTACGTTCCTAACGGGGCGCGCCCAGGACGGTTGATAGTCCACTGCGATGCAGCCAGAGGTTGGAAAAAAAATTCCGTTCGAAGTTCCTGAAATACAACTTTCTAGCTTTTTTTATCGCGTTAGTAGTTCAAGACAACACATGGATGCGCAGCTTTCTGGAGAGCAATTTTATTGATCCTTAAGTTCAAATTATTACAATACAATGTGTTCGTTTATTTGCAAAGATATTGCTAGCCATTGAATCGCAAGTTCCTGAAACAAAATTCATTGTATTTATCTTACGTTAGTAAAAAAACACTCTGGCACCCACTTTGTGTAAACTTTATTGATCACCAAAATTTAACTACGCGTTACATTCAATTACAACTCATCTAGCCATTCTTCCAGCTCTTAAGTCTTGTTTCAGCCGGAATAAGTAGAAGTGTTGAGCGTTTCTTCAGTAACGCAGGAAAAAAAGAAGAAAAAATCGAGGTATCTCCGGAGAACGCGCCAAAAAATAAACAGGTAGCAGGTGATCTCAACAGGGCGCGCCCCAAAAAAGTCTTCTGGAACCATAGTCCGACAGAATGACGGCATAGAGTGGAAAAAAGAAAAATCGTTGACTCTTGACGTTGCTGAAATAAAACTGCTTTATTAGTATATTTTATAGTTTAGTCACCTAATACATATTTCCTATAGTTACCGTGAAAAAATATCACACTGACAACTGTTCTTTTTGTTTTGTTTTTATTGATTTTAATGTGATATAAATAAGCTTTATAACTACTAAAAATGTTATTAAGTACAGCTTTACTACCATGATAGTTAAATTATGAAGCAACACACTAACGACAAACAAGCAATTTGTGTCTTTTATTTAATTCCATTAAACAGTTACAGAATGACGGTATAGAGTCCACAAAAGAAAAATCGTTGACTTTTGACGTTGCTGAAATAAAACTGCTTTATTAGTATATTATCCTATAGTTACCATCAAAAACCACCAAACTGACAACTGTGTTTTGTTGTTTTATTTTTATTGATTTTAATGGGATATGAACAAGCCTTATAACTACTATAAATATATTGTTAAGTACAGCTTTAATACCATGATAATTAAATTATGTATTAAGAAAGCAACACACTAACAACAAAAACAACAAAAAAAGCAATTTGTGTCTTTTATTTAATTCCATTAAACAGTTACAGAGTTTAATTGATTAATGGGAAGCGCTCCTAGAAAAAAAATTTAGGGTCCAGTAAAACCAAGGAGTGTCCATATGTCCATAAAACTTGACATCTCGAATGAAACACCCCAGGGCTTGCTGGACCTTACGCGTACGCCGGCGGGCAATCGTTATTGGCCTGCTATCGAGATATTGTCCATACCATGGCCTTGAAAGCGTTTCGAGCAGAATTCGGAGAAAGACCGAAAGCCGAGTCGAAGAATCGGAAACGAAATCGAATTTCGACAATCGCTTGCTAGCTAAAATAAAAATAAATGGTTTCACTAACCTTTTGCCACGTTTTGTTGTCAGACTTAGGCTGATACATATGGTGCAACGTTTGTTAAAACTGAGCGCTCATCACACGGTTTGGCTTTACGAAACGAACGTTTCTATGGAGACAAACGTTACTATGGAAATCTGCACGTAGACGACAGCTTTTAACAGGCGCTGTACCATTTGAATCAGCCCTACCTTATATGGGCTGCTGTACTCTGTCAGGTTTCGTCAACACTGGGCTCGTTCTCGCTGGTCTCGTTCCTCCTCGAAGGTGTACGTGCTGAGCCACTGGATAGTTGGGCGTGGTTGTATTGCTTGTCCTGATGAGAAGGCGGTGTCGGTCACGACGATGAAGTCCAACCGGCCACGTAATGTTAATTAAGTATTGTAGCTGTCTCAACCAATTATTGATGTCCTACGACGATTTACCCGCCAAATCTGCCCTTTAAGGCTACAATTTGTATCAATATAAGTAAACTTNGTGGTTGTATTGCTTGTCCTGATGAGAAGGCGGTGTCGGTCACGACGATGAAGTCCAACCGGCCACGTAATGTTAATTAAGTATTGTAGCTGTCTCAACCAATTATTGATGTCCTACGACGATTTACCCGCCAAATCTGCCCTTTAAGGCTACAATTTGTATCAATATAAGTAAACTTATGCAAAATTCCTCGTACCCTGTACCTAATGTATCAGAAATACATCTTTCATGCGAAATTGTTCTCTTTTCGCTAGCTTGAGCAGACGTCAATACTAGTTGAAACAGCTCTTTTTTTAGGTGACTGACTGCTATTTTATATCTCCTCTGACTATCCTTTTGCCTAATAACCAGCATGTCCTTTGCTCTTCGAGGTCGGTGACGTTCGCGAGTACTCCGAAGTAACGAGGGGTATCATCAAGATCCCCATCGTCATCACCATCGTTCTTTGATTGCGCATGGTGACTCGTCCTCTTCTTTCAATGCCGCAATGGCAGCTTTCTAGCTTGCCTGACTAACTACATTAACTTTCTATGGCGTTCGACGATCTTTGTTCTTCTTTCTTCGGCCGGCTTCTTCTATCATCGTACAATGGGACAGGCATCTTGCACCGGAGAGGATCCGATCGCAGGCCGCTTGACGTACCACAAAAGGTGACAGAAGAATAAATCTGCTGACAACTCCTGCAGGACGAAGCAGCCGCTAGCAAAGGATCATCGAAGTGAAGACTGCCTACGCCTACCATTTGTAGACGATCAGTGCCTGCGTACTGCAATGCAGGGCTTCCTAACGAGAGAATCCTCGCGAATGGCAAGATAAACAAGAAGACGAACCCAGTCGTCTTGGTGTTAATAATGCCATAACGAGAGAACTTCCCATAACCTGGTAAGCTTCAGAAATCTATCTATAACCTGCGATGTACACACGAGAGCAACATTGGGCGCAAATTCAGGGACTCACAGACGAAGAAACGAGTGTCCTACGCAAGCGTGTTCCTGAAATATCGCTGCGGTCAATGTTGGTCCTGCGCCCACTCCACAGGCTACTAACTCTACTAACAGCCTATTCTCCACTTTAGAACCGAGAAGGAACCTGGAGCCGAAATGCGTCCCGCAATTGATTCTGGGATCGTTACTGGGTACGCGCCGGTCAGCTAGTGGTCAATTTTTCCCTGTCCCTGGAGAGAGTCCCAGAGGTCTTTGCGAAGGTTAACTAGGCCCGGTTTCTTTCTCGATTCAAAAATGGCGAATCCGAGTTGATGTTGCTCCTCCAGCGATGAAACTGCGTCGTCGTAGATTGGTCTCGAAGAATACCTACGCTTACAATTTGTAAACGATCTACTTAGGGTGTGTGCATTGTCCCATAATTCCCAGCGATAACCTGCCACAAGTCGTTAGCACTTCGCGGCAAGAAACGACTGGTCGCAGGCCATCTTGTTGATTTAAACTTTTACACTGCGCTCTGTTCTACGCTCACAATTTGGTGGCTGATACCAAGTTGAAACGTTCATTTATCTTTGATCCGTTTTTATACTTTTTGTCTTTCAAAATGAGTGAATATAATTACGGTTCGCAACCTTAATTTTCTGGTCGTTTTTAGTGAAGTAGTCCCAAATTTGCGAGGCTTAACTAATTAGCTACCTATAACTAGAGAAACCACTAAACTTGTAAGGGGTGCCAAATCAGGTCCCGTTACAGAAGTTGAATGGTCTGTAATCTCTAGTTTCCTAAATTTCCATTAAGGTAGTGTTTGTCTGGTTGAACCGTGCGGATGAAAGCTTCAATTGTCCAGCGTCTCATCTGTCAATTGAAGTGTAATAGATAAATTGAATTTGGCGCAGCTAAGCGGGACACTGAAGCGAAGACGATGACGGCGTAACGACGTAGTGAATCCGCAAAAAAGCCGAGCAGACGTCGAATAAAAACCGAACCTCTTCCAGGAGAAAAAGTCGAACTCCTATCGCTGACCGAATACATGTACCTGCAAAGCAACCCAAATTTGGAAAAAGGGAAGGGGAGGCCCTTACCAGCCCAGGGAACCCCGCTAGCTAATCTAACTACAATTAATTAAAGCCGAAAACGAAGTCCAGGGACTTCTATAACCGAACGTGTGTGGATAGTATGCTTTGCAAGGTTCATCCAGAGCTCTATAAATTAACCTCCCTTGACCCAACCCATAAGGAGTGCACCTGACCTGAATTACAAGATGTCCTTAGAATCCTGACTGGAGGCTGATTGTCACGGCTTTGGAAAGTTGAAGCTCACTGGTAGCCGGTCAGACGAAGGTGCCTGTCTGGTCTGGCGGACTGTCTAGGAAAAATGGTCTGGTCTGGTGGTCTGTCTGAGGGGATGTTTGGCCTATTGGTCTGCCTGAGGAAAATAGTCTGGTCTGATTTATGGTCTGCTGAGCAAATGGTCTGGTCTAGTGGTCCGCCTGATAAAAACTCGTCTCGTAGACGTCGGAAGGCTGAAAATTGTAAAGAAAGAAATAATAACTGAAATGGTGTTATATTAAAACGTAAAACAGGAGAAAAATAAAAGGCCTATTTTACAAAAAAAAAGCAGGCTTCGACATCAACACCTTTCTTCTCTTAACCCTTTCCAATACATTTGCATGACATTTAAGAACTAACTAAAGGTAATTTGTAGAAAGATTATATTTAATTTCCTTGGCTGATGATTTCTTCCTTCTTTTCGTAACCTTTATATTTGAAAACTTCTATAACAGCGAAAAACTGACGAAATAAGATCTGATCTGGGCAAAGACATTTTCCTAGATATCCCGTCCCCGTTATTAAACTACAGTCAAATCTCTGTGCTTGACCTTCTACCAAAAGCAACCAACTTTCAAAAACGTCAAACTTTCTCATTCAAAGCACTATGCATGTATATACTTGAATCTCTCAAAAAAAAACACCCGTCCTTAAATGGCATAGGAATTATAAATTAATTTTACTGTTTTTGACTATTTTAAGCTACCACTTAGTACACGAAATAATGTCCATGTGGCAGCAGTGAGAAAATCTTGTCTTGTCAACTTACGGTAGGCTCGACTCTGCTCACCACGTTATTGTTAATTACGGGATTGCTTCCAAGTTTGTTGGTACTCTGTGCTACTTATAGAACTTGATCATCGATAGAAGTCTTGGAACATTTTCGCATTTGTATCGCCTTTTACATTCTCCAAATAATAAAGAAGGTACGTGATTAACACTACGAACCCCCACCCCTCACCCCACGAGAAAGACGGAGCCCTCGCGTGTCCACTGTTGCCCTTTCCTCCTACGATTGCCACGTGCACACAAAGTACAATTTCGTTCGAGTCTTAATCAACTCATTTCTCAAGTTGTTAACATTAAGACTACTTTTGGAAAGTTATGCTGAAATTAAAGATAATTAAGCAAAGGTACTGAATGGTTGCTTAGACATTTATCCACTGTTTTATCTTACCTTACGAGATTAATATAAAATACAGTAGAACCCCCTTAATACGGTCACCAATGAGCCAAAAAATTCCGCGGTATTAACGAGTGACCGTATTAAGGAGGGTTTTTTTTACAAGAAAATGTATGGCCGTTCCACCACGTGACAAAAAAAAGCGGCTGTTATAACAAGTTGACCGTACTATATATTATCGAGGTGGTCGTAAAACCGGGTTTCACTGTAGCAACAAGATAAAAAAAAACCTTGAGTTTGCACAGTTTCTGTTACTCATTTGAAAAAAAAATACTGAGCATCTCTTACCTTTTGGAGGTTGACTTTTTCTTCTACCCATGCCGCTGTCACGTGTGGGCGTTTGGAAACCATCTCCATGGTCCGCTTTATCTCGGCTTTGAGTTGAATTGCATGGTGTATTTCCAGTAGTACTTTCTGCAATGATAACAGTTATCTGCATTATTGACAATATTATCAAACATAGTAATTAAAAACGTCAAACTATAAGCTATTTTACTTGGAATTTGTTAGCCGTGACTTCAAATTGCACCATAACTGAACCATAAGCAGCTTCTACCTACCTTCTAGCTGGTTATTGCATCACTTAATCCGAAACTCGTTTTCACAGCCAGATTTTTGGGTGCAAGGTAAAGAGAGAAGTCAAAATAACTGAGTTGCGAAGAGAAATGTTATCGTAAAGCCCACCGAACTGTTCGCAACCCATCTTCGTTCACGTACTGTGAAATCATCACTGAATTTTAAATTTGAATTTAGCGCCGCGAAGCATCCTCGTGATTAGAAAAGCGTATCCCGATTGGCTCTCACTATTGCACGTGTAAATGCAGCGAACAGCAAAGGTTGTTTATCGTAAAACGAGGAACGGGGAGCAGGGAACGAGCACAGGGAAAGGGAAGATGAAAAACCCGAGCAAAACCGTCCTTCCCCAACAAGGTCATACTTTTAAGAGGAGAATTTTAACGGCCAGAGACTCTTTTGTTCTTTTGCCTCATCGCGGAACCACACCACCCTGCACCACCGCAACACCACCGCGGGACTTACCGCGGGACAACCGCGGGACTTTCAACAAGATAGTCTCCATTCCTCCGCTCCGTTCCACTGAAGCGAGGCTCTACCATGGAGTTCAGTCGTAAGTGAATGGAATCTGTTTGTACTCGATTTTGTGTTTTGTAAAATTATCTATGAATTTTAATTTTGCCCCTATACAATAACCAAGGAGAGGTTTTCAAGACTTCAGAAGTTTCTTTCTTTAGTATGGACATAACCAAAGAGGTAGAAAGCGCCTTAGAGGAAGAAGGATATGTGAAAATTGACTCTACACCACCAAGTACAATGACCACTTCTACGATAACATCCCCTGTTTCCCTGGCCGATAACACATCGAGTTTATCAGCTGGATCTTCGATAATTTCTCAGCCTGTAAGTCGAGTAACAATCCCTGTTCAACAGCAAATAGGTTTTTTTTTTTTTTTACAAGAAAATGTATGGCCGTTCCGCCACGCGACAAAAAAAAGTGGCCGCAATAACTAGTTGACCGTATTATATATTATCGAGGTGGCCGCAAGGCCGGTTTTCACTGTAGCAACAAAATAAAAAAAACATTAAGTTTGCACAGTTTCTGTTACTCATTTGTAAAAAAAATACTGAGCATGTTTTACCTTTTGGAGGTTGACTTTTTCTTCTACCCATGCCGCTGTCACGTGTAGGCGTTTGGAAAACATCTCCATGGTCCGCTTTATCTCGGCTTTGAGTTGAATTGCATGGTGTATTTCCAGTAGTACTTTCTGCAATGATAACAATTATCTGCATTATTGACAATATTATAAAACATAGCAATTAAAAACATCAAACTATAAGCTATTTTATTTGGAATTTGTTAGCCGTAACTTCAAATTGCACCATAACTGAACCACAAGCAGCTTCTACCTACCTTCTAGCTTGTTATTGCATCACTTAATCGAAAAGTTGTTTTCATAGCCAGATTTTTGGGTGCAAGGTAAAGAGAGAAGTCAAAATAACTGAGTTGCGAAGAGAAATGTTATCGTAAAGTCCACCGAACTGTTCGCAACGCATCTTCCTTCACGTACTGTGAAATCATCACTGAATTTTAAATTTGAATTTAGCGCCGCGAAGCATCCTCGTGATTAGAAAAGCGTATCCCGATTGGCTCTCTCTATTGCACGTGTAAATGCAGCGAACAGCAAAGGTTGTTTATCGTAAAACGAGGAACGGGGAGCAGGGAACGAGCACAGGGAAAGGGAAAATGAAAAATGCGAGCAAAACCGTCCTTCCCCAACAGGGTCAAACTTTTAAGAGGAGAATTTTAACGGCCAGAGACTCTTTTGTTCTTTTGCCTCACCGCGGAACCACACCACCCTGCACCACCGCAACACCATCGACAACCTCGGGAATTTCAAGAAGATAGTCTCCATTCCTCCGCTCCGTACCACTGAAGCGAGGCTCTACCATGGAGTTCAGTCGTAAGTGAATGGAATCTGTTTGTACTTGATTTTGTATTTTGTAAAATTATCTATGAATTTTAATTTTGCCCCTATACAATAGCCAAGGAGAGGTTTTCAAGACTTCAGAAGTTTCTTTCTTTAGTATGGACATTACCAAAGAGGTAGAAAGCGCCTTAGAGGAAGAAGGATATGTTAAAATTGACTCTACATCACCAAGCACAATGACCACTTCTACGATAACATCCCCTGTTTCCCTGGCCGATAACACATCGAGTTTATCAGCTGGATCTTCGGTAAATTCTCAGCCTGTAAGTCGAGTAACAATCCCTGTTCAACAGCAAATTAGGGCTGATCTCCCTTCATCTAATGCTCCAAAAAACCCAGCTGTGAAAAGCCCGTACGAGACAAATTTGGGTTCATCTTCTCCTTTATCGACGTGGCAACGACAAAATTCGGGTCAAACGAGCGAGGATGATCAAATCGGTAGTATGTGGAGCTGGATGTCTAGTGCTGTTTCAGCTGGATTACAGACAACGCAAAATCTGGGCCGAAATATCGTTGAGAAGACCAAGGTAAGTTTGTTCAAAATATTCTAGAAACAAAACATAAGCTTAACTTATTAGTTTATTTCGATATTAAATCTTTTTTAAACTTATAAACATATGTTTGCTAATTCAAAAATTTTACAGTTGTGTATTATGCTGAATACATTTTGATGATTGCCTTTTTTTGTTTTCTTTCTTAGACTTCTGTTGAAAGTGTAATCACAACACTCGACCCAGAAATGCAGGATTATTTACGTAAGGATTTGGTTGTTTTCAGCAGTAATTTTTAAAACTAATTTTTGATGGTATCCCTTAGACAAAGATAACTTACTTGAGTCACATGATCATGGTGTTCTTGTTATAGGGACTGAGCAACCCTGGTATGACCTCGTAGCTTTGGCTGTTGTTGAGGGCCAGGTGCTTGTGGCATATCTGAAGTGTCTCGTTGGTCTTTCTTGGAACCAGTTTCACTTTCCTTGCCAGAATCTTGGCATCATTGATAGTTACTTGATTTGTGGACAGTGTTGTTGGTGTGTTCTCGAATGGCTGAGGAGTTTAAATGTGTGTACATGTATGTCATCTCTGTGCTCACAGAAGTGCATGCCAAAAATCCTGGCCGTCTCTGCCACATACCCCTTCCCAAACATTGCACAGTTCAAACTGACAGTTTTGGCAGTCTTTAAAACATTTGTATAAGGATTTCTAATCTGCACACTGTGAGACAACTCATTTTTCCGTATGGGTTTTGTACTGTTTGTAGGCTTTAAAACAAAAAAAGGTCCATCGGGCAAATGCAACAGCTGTTCGCCTTTACTGCAATAATTATTGAATCCACCCAATGAGTCATACAGTATTTTGCTTCTGGTCCTCAGAATTATATTTTTAGTTATGGACGCAATAAGACTGCAAAGTGATCATGTCTCCATGGAAAACTTTAATCTTAGTAAATTCAATGCTTTGTTTTTAACAGGTGGAAGAGACCAATCTATAAACATAGCTGTTACAACTGATGATTCTGAGGCAGTTGAAGCCATTAAGGACGGATTCCTACAGGTGTTTGAGCATGTTGTGATACAGCCACATTCATCTGTGTCGGGCATTGCTCCCTTACCAGTGGGATTCTCTGCCGGAGTTAAGGGAGCCCAGCACAGGATAGCAAACTTAGTACGAGGAAAGAAAATTCTTGAAGGCCAGGTCATTATTGGTTTTGAAGAAATGGTTTGTGAGCTTCTACCTGGAAAGTAAGTGTGTGTATAGAGTCTTCTCTCTACTCTGACTGGTTATATGGATTGTGCTATTAATCAAGCATGAGGCCAAGATGTTATGTATTGTTGACAAAGAGTGACGTCAAAATGGCTGGATATTATTGGTCAAGTTATTATTTGTGTCCTTATGGAACATGAATAGAGTTGAGGCTTGTTCCATAATGAATTAATTGCCTTATTCTCACTTCTTTTGCGAGTATTAAATTTTGCGAAAAAATCATGAGCCATGTTTCATGAATAATTATTTAATTTTGCGATTTATGGGAATTTTTAGGGATTTTTATATTTTGCATGTATCATTTTTTACAACTTTTCCCAAATTGCAAATACGCATGAAACGAAGTGAGAAGTAAGGTATTATATGGCCAAATGCAGGGAATCCTAAGCATGCCCACTCGGGAAACTAATAAGAAAACAATATTTGCTTCATCTTGCCCACAGGTTAATATCCAGCCATCTTAACCTAAAAGCTTAATCAATAAAAGACTTACTCCGATCATTATGCATGTACGTTTCTGGGAAACTGCCCACCTACCCCTCCCCTAAGCCAACATTAACACTTACTTCTCATTTAGAGCAAAATGTTGTCTTAGGGGAGGGGTAGGTGGGCAGTTTTGCAGAAAGGTATAATGAGCCATTTAAATATTCTAAGACCAAAAGAACCTTCCTGAGGATTGGCTCATCTTGGCCGCTCAGGTAACAGAACGTCGAGGTTTGCCTTATTTTGCCCACTCTCATAACCAGTCGTATGATAATTAGCTTATTATTGGTTGGGTACCAGACTTCAGAGTGATACAAGGTACACCTGGTTTTCTACTCTTTTCACTTGTCTTTGTTTTCTTTATGACTAACTTAATTAATTATGGGTATAGTTTCTCATTACTTATGTTATGTAAAGAGTTACTCTCTACTTCCTCTTTGCAATGGTCTCTACTTAATGAATTTGTTCTCTTTTGCTAGGTGGTTTGGCTTGACATGTCTAGCCCTGAGTGATCCAACTTCAAAGTTAGAATTTGAAACATTCTCACAATCAGTGCATATTCCCAAATTGTACATTACTAAAGCAGAGGAGAGTACACCATCAAACTATAACTTGAGATGGTCTGGCTTGTCATATACTCTTGGTGAAGTCATTATAGGTTCTGGACAGGCACATGGTGATTGGCAGTCTAAACTCTCGGGTAAGCCATTTTTTATCTCTGACTACTAACACAGTCACCAAGGGCCTGTTTGCATGGAGGTGGGGGACCCCAGGTAGGTGAGGTAATCTGCTTAGGTGAAGTAACCTGCCTGTCTATGATCTCTCATTTTTGGTCGCGTTTACTTGATAGGTTGGGTGACCACATGAGAGATTATGTTATGGACAGGTGGGTTACCTCACCTACCTGGGGTCCCCTACCTCCATGTAAACAGGCCCTAGGGCTACTACATAGTCTGAAAATGTCCCAAATGATGGGGGATTTCACTGTTTTTTCTACGGCAGCTTTAACTATCCCATTCTTTGCCAACTGGCCTGTTGGTGGAGAGAACATAATCATGTAATTCTACTATTGCCCATTCTTGATTTATATGACACATTAGGGCCATTTATACGAGGAAAAATAAGACGCGTCTTACATAAGGCGCATCTTAAATAAGACGCGAACTGTACCATTTATACGAGCATGTCTTATCTAATAAGACGCATCTTAGCTAAGCCGCCTCTTATTTTAGACGAAATGTGCTGTTTATACGGAAAGTTCGCGTCTTATTTAAGACGCGTCTTATGTAAGACACGTCTTATTTTTCCTCGTATAAATGGCCCTATTATCACCTTCAGATTTGTGCTCACATGTGAGCCAGGGTCATTTTTGTACGAAAACGTGATAGCCATCCTCATTGTACTACGAGTTTTGGCGAGAATGTTGGGGTGGTGGAAATGATTTATCAAATGTGAGAAGTTTTATCTTTTTTCAATCAGGAGAAGGCTTAACCTTTTGCAATAAAGATAACAGTGCTAACTTTTCTGGTGAATCAAATATACAATGAAGCTTTCTGGGGTGTCTATTTTATGAGAATACCCCAAAAAACCTTCATTCAAATCTTGCACTAGTAGTGGTTCTTGTCCTTGAATCTAAATCTAAGGTCTCTATTGTCAAATGGCACTGTGTTCATAGTGACATGACTTAAACAAAGAAATATCAGAAAAACATTAATTTCCAAAGACCAGCCTGTCACCATTCATTGTAGACAGTACAAAATGTAAAACAATGTGGTAAAAATTTACATGTAATTTAAGTAGTAAGAATGTGTATTTATGTGGTTAATGAAGGGAATTAAAAAAGGTAACAACAACAACAAAAGAAAACAACTGGCAACCAATAGCATAGTGCGCAAATGACATCAAAGTGGCTAATTTGCAATTTTTGTCTGAGTTTTGTCATTTTTTTAATTTTAATGACAAAAGACAGACAAACATGACATTTTAATGACAAAAGTCAGACAAAAGTGAGGAATTCGCCACTGTTATTTTCAGTTTGTTTGTCTGAGTTTCGGGTCTATATTAAATAGTAACTGTGCGCAATGCTATTATTCATATCGGTTAATGTTCCATTAATTATCACTGATCTTGTAATCATTGATTTTTGCTCTTTTCCCTTCAGGTTCCTCCAAACGACAGATCCTTACTCTAGCTGCAAGAACACTAGCAGGGCAATTTAGAGACAGATTAAAAGTTTGTGCTGATTCTCTCATGGAAAATGCAGTGGTTATGTAATATTAATTCACAGTCACAGTTATTTAAATGATAGTAATTATTAACAGTCCATTGACACTGTTACAAGTTAGCACAGATAGTTGCTTTCTACTGTGAGTTAAAAAGATGCCACAGGTACTTTCTTAAAGACAATTTGCTACTGTACACAATGCGTCATGACTTTTCCTCAGTGGCAAATTATTTCATTCACAGACTCAAATTGCAGAGTCAGTCAGAAGATGACTTGAATTTGGATAACACTGGTAATTACAATAGACAAGTAAAATAATTTATAAGTGAAGAGAGGATGAAATAAAGCCTAAAGTGGGTCTTGATCAAATACCAAATTTTGTCTTTGATTCACAAAAATATACAAGGTAAATTGAAAGGAGAATCTAGTTACTTAACAGAGGTCACTTAGGGTGTCATTCCAGGCACCCTTACATTATAATGTTTGGTGAAAGAGAAATGAAGATAGCACAGTTAGGGACTGTTGTTTGCCTTTATTCCCCCTATAAGAAGGTTGGGAAAGAAGAATTAACCCCGGTCTAATAAAAAAACTAAAAACTGCGCCCTTTTTGGCATTAGACTTCTTAGCATTTTAGCTGAGACTGCGTGATGGTACCCCAGAGAACTGTTTCTTTTAAATCTCGTCCTCTGCATGTGCATCCACAAGCATATGGATGCGTACTGTAAAATTCCGAACATAAGCTCCGGGGCTTATATTTTTCCAAGGCCTTTTTTGAGGGGCTTGTTTTTGAAGGGGCTTATATACGGTGGGAAATTTGCGTTTCAAAGTCGGCTAGGCTTATACTGGGAGGAAAATTGACGCCCCAAAATCGATTGGGCTAGCTTATAGTTGGAAAGAAATTTATGTCAGTAGTTTGCAGAACGTTTTTACTGAAACTCGCCTTAAGGACGTAGAACTTACTAAAACTCAGCCATGCAAGTACTTTGTCTATATGGCAATTTCCAAGAACAAGCCCCCGGGGGCTTATATTTGGAGGGGTGATTTAACGGAGGGTTTTCTTGCGTCAAGAGGTTAGGGGCTTACATTTGGAGGGGCATATTTTCGGAAATTACGGTAATTTATGAAAAGACAAAAGGCAAATTCCCTGGAGAAAAACATCACGTGCGCAGCATTGGGAAAACAAAACTTACAAGCTAAAAAGGTCTTTACATGTAGATTGTACATGTGAGCATATTATTTTCTTTCTTCCTGGAACCATTACATCAAGTCTCGTGCAACTAGAATGAACTAACTAAATGACATACAGCATTTCTCTAAGCATTTCATACCGTTGTTTGTTTAATTATCAATCAGATTTCTAAGAAAAAAAAATTACCACTGTTAGTCGATCTGTTTCGACAAAAATTTCCACTGATCGTTTTTGTCATGTTAGTTTTAATATCTTTATTTTATTTACCGGTAATGCCTTTAAAAAAGTACAGCGAAAATTTATGTTATAAAAGTCAAAAGATTATTGGAACTTTCTAAAGGGACTTCTGACAACCGTCCGATTAGTCAAATAGTTTTGTTAAGAGAAACAATAAACAACTAGTCTTTTTTTAAATATTTTTTCTCCAGATTTGATTTCACAGACCTACTATGTTTTTGAAAACCAACACACAAGAAAATGCATTGACACTCAGGCCATATTCGTTTCTTGAGTTGAACTACTTATTATTGCATTACCTTGGTTATTACTTTTTACTGTTATTTTTTTTTCTTTTTAACTGGGATACATTCATCGTTTTTGAAGCATGGATTTCAAGACCTGAAAATACTGTCAACCGACATTATAAACAATAATTTCTTTACTTTACAACTTCCCTGGATTTTAACTTGTGTGGAAAAAAAAAGAATTATATTTCCTATCTCTCTTAACTTATCTTCGAGACACTGAAGATTATTTGAGGTTTTAAATAACATCCACTGGCCAAGCAGAGGCCTTTTATTTCGGCAAGATCCTTTCCTCTTTCCGAAAAACTGTACTTGCAAGGAAAAAAAGGGTATCTGCGACACAGGCTAGTTAAAATTAATTAAACAAAAGTACGTTTACTAAGCATCAACAGAAGAATACAAAAAGAAAATAGAAAACGTTTATTCGTTGCTATGCTTTTAAAGACGTAATATGCAAAACGAAAAATTATTATTTCGTTTGCTTCCCTTCTTCCTCTCTGGCCCGGAATGTATAAGGAAGTTAATGTTCAAAATATCAAGGGGGTGGAGATCTATCATTACCTTAGATGGAAATATGTTTTACATTTGAAGTCATTTTAGTTGTTCTAAGATAATTATAATTTAAAACGCAATAAATTACCTCTTCAGTATCGGAATGATTTGAGTCTGGTTGTGTCGTGTAAAGATAAAAAGTCGGTTGACTTACATGGCCTTCATTGATTTCCTTATGGTTCTATGATGTGGGATGCTATCGAGATGAACCTGAGCGTTCTGTGTGGTGAGTGGGGACAGGGGGGTTGGAGGCCGGGAAAATAGGTGGAGGGAGGGTGCGGAAGGTGGGAGCGGGAAAGAGCGGGAGGTGGGAATTCTCAGAAGGGGGAAGTGCGAGAACTAGGGAGAAAATTCGCAACAATGCTTAATATCTCGCAGTCAAAAAGGGCTAAGGGGAGGAAGCCAAGAAAAATGGGGCGAGAGTCGCGAAAACAAGGTACGGGACGTACTCCCCCTGTTCCCCTTCCCTCACGGTTTTCTAAGAGTGTTATCCAAGTCACTCTTAGTTCATGCACTAGGCTCGAAGAAAAGCTAGCAAGAATGCTTAATGTACCGAAAGAATGTTAAATTTAATTTTAGCAAATTACGTCCCGCTGTCGTCTGGGCAATTAGTCCAAAATGTCAGCCGTCTCCCCCACCCCCCTCCCCTCCCCACAACAACTGAGCAATTTTTGGATTTCATTTGAAGTTCATTTGGGAAACTCTATGGTCCCCCAAAATAAAAGCTTTACCATCTCGCAGTACAAGCAAGTATTTTGCCGTTCATATCTATTATCCTGCACGGTAGTCTACGTCAATTTTCGTGGCTTTAAAGCAAAAAGTAACTGCGCATGCGCAGTCCTAGAATTTGCCTGGAATCAACAATTATGCAAATATCTTTTCATACGTCACCAGATAAGATGCGACAGCGTTTAATCCAAGAGTTCTCCATTTAGTTCACGGTAAATGGTCCGTGCTTTGTAAAAAGAGATCGACCGCTTGTACCATAATGAACGTAAGTCTGAGAGTTATATTAAGGTCCCGATTTCCACCACTCTCTTATCGGTTGACCTTCTGGTTCAATAGGGAGATGATGATTGGTTGAGGCACTGTCTATCAGTGAGACGTGTCGCTACTTGTTACGCAAAGACACGTGACCAATCTGATCCTGTTGTATCGAGGTTCTATTGGTGCTCCGATTTTTCACTCACTCGTTTCAGCGCCTTTTTTTTGCAAGGAAATACCATATGGCGCCGGCTTTACTTTTTGTGGGGTTCAATTTTGCTGAGCCAAATTTTTTTCCTTTGTGATTGGTCCAGTCTGTTTTCGCTTTTAACTGTAACTTTAGTTTTTGTTCTTTTTAGATCTTGCATGCAAAATTCAAGCGTTTGAGTAAAACACTGCCAACATTCTAAATAACTAGATGAGTCTCCATTTATGTATCTTGATCTTGTGAAGACGAAATCGCTTTCTGCGCCACAATGAAATTAAATTTGGTTCTTTATGCATTCAAAACTATACACTTTCCCGACTCGTTTTCTTGGTCGCGACGTTACCTCTGGTTTGCAACAATATTGCTCTCACATTTGTGCTCTCACGATAAAAAAAGGAATATTCTGATTTTGGTTTCTTTCGTCGCCACGAATCCAATGAATCTGAGAATTAAACGTTGCATACTCCCAAAGAAAAACGACGACGGGCGAGCAGTGCGGCAACAAACCGCCCGAGTTGGTAGCTTCTGGACAAAATAATATTTTCAAGACTGAATGAATTGATGTGAGTATTTATTTTCCAAATCCTTATCGCATTAACTCAATTTGCTGAAGAGTGTAAGTTCTATCCTCAATGAAGCTATTTTCATCTACAGTCAGGTGACAGGCAACCGTAACCTTGCATTTGAGGTTCTTAACAAGAGCTTTAATGAAAGTAACAAAACTATCGACAAAACTCTTGTCATCTGATAACCCTTTCACAGCTGTTTGGATTAATGTTTTGGCGGGAAAGTCATGAAAAAGGTGCGAAATGACGCTACCGAATGCTTCCACTTGTAAGGACGTACGGGAGTCGCCAAGGACCAAGGTCAGCGGCTTGTAGTAACAGCTTGTAGTGTACTGGTAACTGGGATTTGCCACAACACAATGTGAACATTGACAGTAAACACCGTTTTTATCTTGCACAAGGGCCCGAGAACACGAGCCGCAACCGATGAACACTAATTTGTCAATCGCCTTCTTCAGTTTCTCTGTCGAGGGCACAGTTTCGTCTACAACGACGACTTCATCCTCACAGTGAAACTGCAACGAAGTTATTTCCGCTTCCAGTTCCGCTAAGCCAGCATATTTGGATTCCAGGAGATCGTGTACGTTCGCAAATGTTTTTGTTGGCTTGGCAGTTTCATCAAAACGTAACATAAAAGAGGAGGCGTTCTTCTCGTCCACCGGAAGTTTCATCTTTGTTGATCTCGGGTTCGAGTGCAGTGAGACGCACCCAGCATCCGTGTTGTACTTGGCCGTGAGGTACTGGAACTCCCAGACTCTCCCAATCCCCTCTCTTAGTTGGTTCATCCAAGCCACTTGTCTGCCCCATAGAAATAGTTGTATCTTTTCGCGCGGTCGCTCTTCTAAGACTTTGCATTAAAAAAAGAAAGAAACAATCATCATTTTTCACAATACGGTCATAAGAAACTTGAAAGGTGGGGGATAAAAAGTGTCTGATAAAAGGGTCAAAACGGAGGGAGTGTTTGCACAATTTATCAACATACCAGTGGCAGATCCAGACCTTCAGATAAGGGGACGGGGGGGGGGGG